TGAGGGAGGGTACTGAGTGGGGTACTCCTGTCCCCACCCCTGATGGTGAGTGTGTAACACCGAAGTTTCAAATTAGATTTATTGCCAGGTTGGCTCTAAGGCTGGACCTCACATGGCCAACTGTGTGGTTCAAGTCTTGGACCTGGCGGCTTGAGAAACATGCCAGGCATGTGAGCATACGTGCCCAAAATCCCAAAAGGAGAAATGGAAGGGAAGGGATTACAGCATGGCCATTCCCCATGGGAGGTGCTTTCTCCTCTCCCTCCCTCTCTGTCTCTGGCTAACACACATACACACACACCCTCTAGCAAAAAAAAAAAAAAAAATGAAAAAGAAAAAAATCTATTTACAGAAAGAGTTTTGCTAGTTTGAAAACTTCTGAATTGGGTGATTCCAAGAATTTTCAGTGTCAAACTGAAAAGGTTCCCAGAGCACAACTGGCCCATCTCATCAGAATGAGAGGCCTGCAGCCTGCAGAGGTGGGGCCTGTGGGGTCAGTCTTGGTGGAGTGGGAAGAGCATTGGGGCCGGGGGAGGGGGGGCAGGAGGTCTGGGCACATGACCCTGTTCTGCCATAGGTCCCGTGACACCTGGGCGAATCCTTCTTCCCCTGGGTTGCACAGCTGTGGTTTGGGGCTGGGTGGGGTTGAGCTCTCAGGACTGCTTGAGCTCTGAGGACTGCCTGGCTGGAAGGGTACCGAGGGAGGAGCCGTGCAAACCTGCAGACCTGGAGCATGTCCTGGTGGGGATCTCAGACATTTTACGCAAGTCTATGAAGGGCGGAGGGCACACAAAGATCTGGGCAGGACTGGACGCCATGCCAGTTCCTTAAAGGCTCGCTCTGATGCATCCAGTGCTGTAGGGAAGTGAGGGTGGGAGCAGGTAGCTATTTAAGGAATTGGGGCTTCAGAGATTCTGACCCCAGGGCCCACAGTGCTTGCAGAGCCAGCGTGGAAGCTGAATCCAGACCCAGCCCCGAGTTGTGCACCAGCCTCCTCCCTGGAGAGCTAACCTCCCTGGCTGAGCTTCTGAGGGAGGGTGGAGTGGGCGTGGGATGGAACCCACTGCTCCTTCCCTCTGCCTCCAGATGGTCTCCCTGGGACCCCAAATCAGAGAGGTCCCACCTCCCCTAGGATCATGCTTCAGTCCTGGATGTAGGTGTGGGAGGAGTGAGGCCCCAGAAGCCAGGCCCAGTTCTGGGCTCCAGGGGAGCCCAGGCATGCTGGGCTGTGGCTGTGGTGGTGGGTTGCTAGGCAACTCCAACCGGGAACCCTGGTTACTGCTGCCTGGCAGAGGCGTCTCCCTCACCTCCTCCATGGCCTCTGGCCTCCCAGGAGGCCTTGCAGGCCAGCCAGAGTTTTGATCAGTGCTTACCACTGGGTTTTGGCAGGGAGCTCTGAATGGTGGCAGGTGGCTGGGCCCTGAGGGCCAGACTGGGCTGTTGCAGGGCCTGGGCTTCTCTCCTGGGCATGGCCTGGGGCACACCTGGTTCAGAACCCAGCCCAGCAGAGGTCTAGGTCCTCACCCAGCTCTGGGGCCCTCCCTGGGAGACCCTGGGCAAGGCATGCTACCCGTCCAGGCTTCCGCCACCTTCCTGGCTTGCAGAATCCTTCCTCAAGAGCCTCATCTTCTGTGAGGGAGGGTACTGAGTGGGGTACTCCTGTCCCCACCCCTGATGGTGAGTGTGTAACACCGAAGTTTCAAATTAGATTTATTGCCAGGTTGGCTCTAAGGCTGGACCTCACATGGCCAACTGTGTGGTTCAAGTCTTGGACCTGGCGGCTTGAGAAACATGCCAGGCATGTGAGCATACGTGCCCAAAATCCCAAAAGGAGAAATGGAAGGGAAGGGATTACAGCATGGCCATTCCCCATGGGAGGTGCTTTCTCCTCTCCCTCCCTCTCTGTCTCTGGCTAACACACATACACACACACCCTCTAGCAAAAAAAAAAAAAAAAATGAAAAAGAAAAAAATCTATTTACAGAAAGAGTTTTGCTAGTTTGAAAACTTCTGAATTGGGTGATTCCAAGAATTTTCAGTGTCAAACTGAAAAGGTTCCCAGAGCACAACTGGCCCATCTCATCAGAATGAGAGGCCTGCAGCCTGCAGAGGTGGGGCCTGTGGGGTCAGTCTTGGTGGAGTGGGAAGAGCATTGGGGCCGGGGGAGGGGGGGCAGGAGGTCTGGGCACATGACCCTGTTCTGCCATAGGTCCCGTGACACCTGGGCGAATCCTTCTTCCCCTGGGTTGCACAGCTGTGGTTTGGGGCTGGGTGGGGTTGAGCTCTCAGGACTGCCTGGCTGGAAGGGGACCGAGGGAGGAGCCGTGCAAACCTGCAGACCTGGAGCATGTCCTGGTGGGGATCTCAGACATTTTACGCAAGTCTATGAAGGGAATGTGGATGTATTGTGAAGTACATGCACACTCCCCTCGACTTTTAAAACAGAAGCAGAAGCCTTGCAGGAAATGTGGCCCCTGCAGCATGCCCCTGCCTTGCCATGCTGCCAGCTGCTAAGGCCAGTGACGTGGGAAGTTGAGCACTGGATACTGGCTTCCTAAGATTCCTTGGGAAGTCTCTGATTCGCTTCTCTCTCCCTTGGAGGAATGTGATGTCCTTTAGACTCAGAGTAAGACCAGCCTGAAATCAATCCCTGGCTCTGTGCTTAACAAGCTGTGTGACCTTGGCGACTCCATGACCGTCTCTGAGCCTCACTCTCCCCATCTTGGTAAAGGGATCACAATTCCCGACTGGTATGGAGGTGGGCATGATGCCTGTGTGAGATGTAGTACTTAGGGTGCCCAGGGCAGGTACCGACCAGGTGCTAGGACCTGGTGCTGCCCTCCCCCACCTTGTGCACTGACGAGGCTGGCACATAATGACACTGATAAAGAGGTGTTGCAGCTGGAGACAGGGGACGTGGGAGGGGGAACCTCTGTTGAGCCAGACAGTCCTATGGGGGAGAACCGAGGCCTCCCAGGACCCTGAACACAGGTGTGGGGGAGGAGCTGGGGAACCAGGTGCAGGGGTGGAACCTACAAGGGGGAGTCTGCTTGAGGGAGCATCACTCCCTGGGGGTCCAGCTCCCCTCCTTTCTGGGCCCCAGGAGAAGTCAGGCAGGGCAAGGCTGGCAAGCCCCAGCTGTTACCTCCCAAGGCCAGAAAGTGCCAGAGACAGGGAGCCTGCGCCTAAAGTCAGGTCAGTACCCTGAGCTGGGAGTCGGAGGTGGGAGGGACCCTGGGGCAGCAGGAAGCCCGCCCTCCTGGAGCTGGGAGGAGGCAGGAGAGCCCTCACAGAATGGTCATGAGGGTGGCTGGGCAGGAGTGAGAGCAGGTTGGTGAGCTCGGTTGAGCTGGAGTAGTACCTGGCATCACTGCCTCGCCGTGGGACCGTGGGCAGGTTACGTCATGCCACTGGGCCTCTGTTCCCTGGAACGTGCAGTCGGGTGATGCCAGCTGCCCAGAGTTGGGGCCCAGTACAGCTGCATTCAAGGCGTGCTATTAAGGAGATGGAGACAGAGCAGGTCCTTGGGGTGACTTAAGAGATGAGGTCTCCTGGCCGGTGTGGTCACCAAACACTTCTCCATGCACGGCATCCCGTGCCATGACCCTGTGGCCTGTAACATGGTCCCTGAATGCAGCCCAGGTTTTCAGGGTAGTTCACAGAGGCTCAACAACAATATAGCTAGGTGGCCAAAGAGTGGGGCATTCTGCCAGCCCTCTGGTACCCAAGCCTGTGATGTTCCACAGCGGTACTGGAGCTGGGAGGCAGCGGTGCCCCGGGGGAACAGCCCTAGAGGTGGGGCATGGCACCCTGCTGAAGTTCCACTCCAGGCTCTTGTGAGGCCGGGTCAGTGGAGCTGAGTTCCTCTGCCTTCCTGGCTCCAAGTCAGGTCTGGCAAAAACAGGCAGTGAGGTGGGGAGCAGCAGAAAAGGAGCAGTGCGGGCGGGGGCAGGGCAGAGGCCAAGCCCAGGGAGAGGCGGCAGGAAGGGCTGTGTAGCCTTGGGCAAGCCACTATACCTCTCTGAGTCTAGGTGTTCTTGTCTGTAAGTGGATGATGCCACCTGCTCTGTGGGGACTTGGCTCCACCAGGAAGGGGCTTTGGGGGCAGAGCTGCACAGGTGGGTTGGGGGGAGAGGGTGGGCTGCAGCCCAGAGGGCATGCTGGGGAGCTGAACTGACCTGAAGGCCTGCCCTGAGCAGGAGTGGAGGTTGTCCTTGGAGGGACTGGGTGGCATCCCAAGCCTCTGTGGAGGTCACAGGACCTCAGAGAAATTAGGGGACAGCTCAGAAAACTCTGGGCCTAGACCCACTTTGGGGACCCCCACCTATCCTGCTTTCCCTGGCCAGGCCCTCCCTCCAGCAAAGAGTTAACAGTCTTCTCTACCTGCAGTTGCATTTTAAAGACACGAAATTAAAGCAGGTAATTTATTCTCCCCACACACGAAAGAGCAATTAGTTCTAAACAGGGCTTAATCAGTCACCGCGAGATTGATTTCTGGAGCCCTGGGTTTTCGGGCTCCTGGCGCCATGCCAGGCTAGGGAGGGAGGGGGGCGGACAAATGAGCCGCGGCGGCATGAGCCCTTACATAATCTGCCGGGGGCCCCAGCAGCCTGGCTAGCCCCTCGTGGGCCCCAGTTGAGTTGGGGAGAAGGGTTCCTGCACCCCTGCTGCAGGTCCTGGCAGACTCGGGTAGCCTTCAGGGTTGGCCACGCCTCTGGGAAAGGCTGTGTCCCAAACTCCAGTCCCACCCTCTGGGCAGCCTCAGTGTGGACGGGGTGGGTATTCGGGGTGTGTTCCACGCGGTACTTACACCTGCTCCCTCTCCTCCTCCAACCTCCTTTACCCCACTGACCCTTCCTCGTCCCAATTTCCTCCCCTCTGGTTCTCCATCTCCTCTCTTCTCTCTCCTGTTCTGTCCCTCCGTCTCTTTTCACCTCTTCCCCTCTTTCCCCGTGGCCTCCTCACTTCCCGCCCCCACGTGCCCTTGTCTCCGGCCACAGAACTCCATCCGGCACAACCTGTCGCTGCACACCCGCTTCATCCGCGTGCAGAACGAGGGCACGGGCAAGAGCTCCTGGTGGATGCTGAACCCCGAGGGCGGCAAGACGGGCAAGACTCCGCGGCGCAGGGCCGTGTCCATGGACAACGGGGCCAAGTTCCTGCGCATCAAGGGCAAGGCCAGCAAGAAGAAGCAGCTGCAGGCCCCGGAGCGGAGCCCGGACGACAGCCCCCCGGGCGCCCCTGCCCCGGGGCCCGTGCCTGCCGCTGCCAAGTGGGCCGCCAGCCCAGCCTCACACGCCAGCGACGACTACGAGGCCTGGGCCGACTTCCGCGGCGGGAGACCATTGCTCGGGGAGGCGGCCGAGTTGGAGGACGACGAGGCCCTGGAGGCCCTGGCGCCATCGTCGCCGCTCATGTACCCGAGCCCCGCGAGCGCACTGTCGCCGGCGCTGGGCGCGCGCTGCCC